GAAGGTCGTAAAGAGCGCTAAGAATGCTGTGAGAGGCCAGGAAGGTCACTGGTGAGCTATGCAGCCTCAGCTGAAGTAGAAGCTCCAGGACTAGAGGGGTCAGAGAGAGAAGATGAGACTTGGCACCACGTGGCAGGGTCATAGTCCCTGAGGAGAACCAAGAGACGGATACTGTTGAAGAAACAGCCTCACTGCAATAGAGACCCCAACATTTTAGAGATGCTGGCACTGTGAGACAACCACCAAGGACAGCAACTGCCATGGAGCCAGGCTGAGCCTAGGAGATGAGCTTTGTGTGCTACAGTGGGCACAGCCAGAGGAGTAACTCAGGCCCTGTGGAGCCCAGGGGCTTGTGAGTGACTCCCAAACATTAGGCAGTGATTCTTTACACTGCTGGATTTGGGGTTTGCTCTGATTTGATTTCAACTATGCCTTAGGTCTTCCTTCTTAAAGTAATAAAGTGTTTAACTTACTTTTTGATTTTATAGGGACTCCCACTTAAAAGACTTAGGAATTTTAAAGAGACTTTGAATATTTTAGGGTGGATTTGAACACTGAAAAAGACTTTGGGTGATTTAAAGAGACTAAACTCATAAAGACTATAGACTTTTAAAGTTATTTATGATTTATATTGTGATATCCATATTAATATGAGATCGTGGGGATAAACAAGAAAGAAATGGTAATGGTTTAACAGTTACGTGTCTGTGTGTCGAACTGACAAGGTGTCAGTTGTACTGGCTAGTTTCATGTCAATTTAACACAAGTTAGAGTGATTTGAGAAGAAGAACCCACAATTGAGGAAATTTTCCCACGATATGGGTCTGAGGGCAAACTTGTAGGCCATTTTCTTGATTGACAGTTGATTGGGAAAGGCTGAGCCCAGTGTACACAGTGCCACTCCTGGGCTGGTGGCCCTGGGTGGTTTAAAGAAGATTGAGCAAGCCATGAGAAACAAGCCAGTAAGCAGCCCTCCCCCACGGTCTCTGTATTAGTTTCTACTATTAGATGTTTACCCTGATGTCTCTCAGTGATGGACTTTTACCTGGAAGTATGAACAAAATAAACCCTTTCCTCCCCAACTTGCTTTTGTTCGTGGTGTTTCATCACAGCACTGGGAGTCCTAAGATTCCTCCTTCAGTTATTGGACCATGGGAGTTCAAGCTAATCCCAAGCAACACAGACAGCAGCTGTTGCCTTTGGCTGTCTCCCAGAATTTGAAGGCAAATCCTTACTGCCAGAAACACCAAACATAAGATTTGGGGCAATTGATCTGAACCTGACCCAGAAGCCTCCTCTCTAAAGACTAGCTTCCATTGTACAGGAAGGAATGATGACAGTTGGCAAGGGACCGTATGTGAGGCCTGTGAACCAACATGGACTTGTATGGCAAGATATCGCCAAAGGTGCAATAGTGGCTCTTAGTGTCGGGGCAGGAACCAACAACCATCTTCTGACCCACCCCATAGGAGGACAATCATGCCTATATCGCAATCCTAGCCATCTACCTGTGGTTCTTGGACCCTAGAGGAAAGCATACAGCTGCCATTTTCCTAAACCAAAATTATTTCCAAATATTCTAGAGCGTTACCTTATAGCCAGAGGGAAGTGCAGCTCTCACCCTTCATTAAAGAAGCAGGAAGCATTCCAGAAGCCGTACCCGGTCAAATGCATACAGAGAATAACTGGGGTTGGGTGCCCAGCAACAGCTGATACGTTTGTAACGTCACAGCAGAGGGTTCAGAAAGACTGTGGTGAGCCAGAGGGTGAGAGCATCTGCTGTGAGATTGTGTCTCCTACATAGGACAGGAAAGCCGTCCCCTGAAATCTCAACAGTGACTGCCTAAACAAAACCTGGACACTCTGACCCCAACTGGCACGGCAATATGAGCAGGAGAACAGAGCCCTGCCCCCAGATGAAGACCGACAGGCAGCTAGTCACGCTGGGAGGGAAAATCAGTCTTTACCAAGGATGAGCCTCTTAACTGGTTACCAATGCCAAGTGGTCACCCCTAAAAACAGCACTAGATTAACAGGTTTTATTTAAATACTTAGTCTCATATACATATTTAACAAGTATAATTAAGGAAAAAGAGGCCATGAATTTGAGAGGGAGTATGGGGATGACATGGAAGAGGTTGACAAAGAGAGAAGGAAGAAGGAGTGACGTAAATACAGAACACATATGAAGTTTAAATTTTTATTTTAAAAATAAAAATAAATTTTTGAATTAAGAAAATTAATCCAGTTCAATGGCTAAGCTCTGGTGAAAGGTCTCTGGCTTTCTCATTTTATCAGGCCCTAGCAAAATCCACAGATGTAGTGATGGGGAGTTAGCCAGTGCTCAGATGACCAGAGACCCAGCAAAATCCACAGATGTAGTGACGGGGAGTTAGCCAGTGCTCAGATGACCAGAACTGTCCTTTGAGCTTTAGAAATACATTGGCCTACTTACTCATTTCTATATCTTTAATTGAGGTTGGGATGTTGGAGTGAAAATGAAAAGACACTGAGATGTGCTGCCAGATGGGACTCCAGTAGCGCGAAAGGTCTGACTAAAGACCACCCACCTGCCACAGAAAATCAGTCCCCCTCCTCTCTCCTTCCCTCCCTCCCTCCCTGCCTTCCTGCCTTCCCCTTCCCTCCCTCCTCTGCTCCTCCTCCACTCCCAAACACACACCCTAATTCCCAAAAAGTCACATCTAAGACATTTAGCTAGAAACTAAGCTATGTCCCATAGTATCCTAGCATCCCTCTATTTCCAAATCTCCCATTTAGAACCAACCACTAAAACTATCGGGTCTAAGTTATAGACTTTAAAAAAAATTTAAATTCTAGAACCAGTGGCTCAAACTTCAGAGGTCCAAAGAGACTCATATCAGTTTGGAGAATGGTGGGGAAAGGGACAGTCACTGGGAAGGACTGAAGGTTGGCAATCAGTAAGGACAAAAACAACGGCTTCCCCCTCCCAGTTTTCCAACCCTTCCTTCACCCCCAGTAAAGGCAACAGACTCCGAGAGACCTGAGGTATGACAACTTTATTATTCCGTAGACATGTCCGGGGGCCCAGCCCCGGGCCAGAAGCTCTGCTACTGCTTGTGGCTGTCTGCATGGGCTGCCACGCCCAACTTTACCAAGTGCACAAGGTACTCCTCGAAGTTAACTGCATTGTCCTGATTGATGTCCAACTCTTTGAACACGGCTTCCACATTCTTATTCTGTCAATAGTGAGAGAGAAAGGCAGACCGTAAAGATTTTAGGGAAAACTCAGCAATGGCTATCTGTAGCTGAGCACTGGCTACCATCTGTAGAAAGCGGCATGGAGGAGCAGCCACCCCAGCATCATCAGAGAACCCCGAGAATGCAGCACCTCCTCACCTCCATGTAATGAGGACACTCAGTAGTGACGAGTTTCTGAAAGTCGTCCTTGTAGAGGGCGTGCTTGTTCCCTTTCACCAAGGAGTAGTTGTGGTAGACATCAACCAGGTTTTCCAAGGCCTTCTCCAGTTCAGACAGCATGATAGCTGAAGATTTGCTCACCTGAAAGGAAGAGCCCCAAGGGATGAGTGCTGCAGTTACTCACGGCAGAGTGAAGACTGAGTGGATGGTCACAAGGTTGGTGACCCAAGAAGTAGCTTTGGCCTGGCCTGTGCCACCGAGATTACTAAATCTGGAAAATGTCTCTTTCTTTGATGAGAAGGGATAAGATGGAGAAAGGATAGGATGGAGGGGCTTCAGTACACACACACACACACACACACACACACACACACACACACATACACACACACACGAATTTACCCTACCAAACACTCCCTGCCCTCTTCTACTAGACACTGCTAGAAGGCTCTACTTCTTCCTCACCCTCAATCCACTCCCTTCATCCTCAAGCATCTGATCTGTGCTGCAGACTTTCCCAAGCTTCCTCACCCTCTCAGAGGATATTCCATTCCCCACCCTCCCCAAGAGAAGCCTGCAGTGTGAGATAGACTTCCACAACTCTGCTTACCCAACGTCCCTGAGACAGAGCTGACAGAGGAGGACATGTGAAGCTAAGTGTCAGCTGCTTTTATAACAGAAAGTTTGGCCAGCCTCGGGCTATGGAGACAGCACTCTTCCCTTCCAGAGTTGCCACAGCCTCGGTTTCCCAACCGGGCCCATGTGTCAATCACTGAGCACAGTAGGCATCTGAGTCTGAGGAAATGGGAGTGTTGGGACAGAGAAGAACCAAGATGGGACATGGCAATGAGTCCTTTTTACGGGTCCCTGGCATCCCATCCCCACGTTCAGAGAGATTTCCAGTCTTCGCCCTCTGCTCTATTGCCATGGCTGATCCACCTTTGTGTTCGGTCTACCATCTCTGAACTGAACTGAAGGTGGTGTTGCTGTGAGAGTGTGGGTGCATAGGAGAGACAGCTTCTCAAAGTACCAAAGACCTCAGAAACATTAACACTGCTCCTAGGTACTAGATTTTAGTGCAGTTTGGAGTATTGGAGTACTGCTGTGAGCTTGTATGTGGATGGGTGAATGGAGTCTTGAGGAGGGAAGTTTTCTTCCCAAGGCTTAGACCAGTTCCTAACCTGCCATGGATGGAGCTCAAAAACATCATTTTGAGTGATGTAACCCAAACATAGAAAGACAATTATGACATGTACTCACTCATAGATCGTTTTTAAACATAAAGCGAAGAAAGACAACCTGCAACCCACAATCCCATAGAATTTAGACAACAATGCAGACACCAAGAGAGACTTACATAGATATAATCTACATGGGAAGTAGAAAGTAGAAAAAGACAGATCTCCTGAGTAAATTGGGAGCATGGGGACCTCGGGGGAGGGTTAAAGGGGAAGGGGAGAGGCAGGGAGGGGAGCAGAGAAAAATGTAGAGCTCAATAAACATTAATTTAAAAAAAATCCAGGAGACCCAAAGAGGGGAGCCAATAACCGTGTGCATCGACAGATGAGGGAGTCAACAGTGTGCTTGCTTCGCAGTACCATGAAAGATCCTTTGTAAAGGAAGGAGGCTCTGGCACATAACAGAACATGGATGATCTGAACGGAGAAGCCATGTGGTTCTGTCTGTACAAGAATTTCCAGCAGTCAGATTTGTTGAGCCAAGGTGGAATGGGCACTCGAGGGGAAGAGGAGGAATGGACGATGGTTTAATGGGCAGCACTGTCCTTGATGCAAAAGGGGAAAGTTCCGGAAATGAGCTGTCCACCAAGGTGAATGTCGGCAGCTTTACTGGAGTGTACACCTGGAGAAGGAAAGGTGGCAAAGCTGCTGTCACGTGTAACTGAGCACAACCAGGGTTTACAGTTTTCAAAGGCCTGCACCTATGCTTCGTACGCAGTCCTAAGTGAGGGCTTCAACAGAGCTGCAAAGATCTGCCTAAGAAGAGGCAGAAAGATTGTAAGAAAGATTGGATGGGGACACCAAAAACACAGTGTCTTCTAGACACAGAGACTGCGGCAGCTCACAGGCTAAACCAGATGGCCGCAGTGGGAGAGGGGGACGTGGACACAGGCTCCCACACCTAACCAAGAAGCTGTCGGCAATCCACACCTACTAGCAAAGGGAAGAATCCGTTTTCTCCCATGGTATCTCAGGCACACTTGAGAGCAGGCCCCATAGCCCAGGAGTTGGTCAACACAAAGTGAACTCCCTGGTATTTTTGCCAACTTTTTGTCTCGTTTTGCTTTATTTGGATAATTTTGTTTGTTCCATTGGCCTTTTGTTTGTTTGCTTTTGTTTTGGGTTTTAAGTTGTTTAAGTTGTTTTGTTGTTTGTTTGTTTGCTTTCTTCTCTCATACAATACATTCTGATACAGTTCCCCCACCCTCCACTAGCCCTAGTCTTCTCCCCCCACCCCCTCTCCCCCACATCCACTTCCCCTCCATTTCACTTCAGAAAAGAGCAGGCCTCCCAGGGACAGTAACCAAACACGGCAGAACAAGATGCAGTAAGGTTAGGAACAAACCCTCAAGGCTGGATGAGGCACCCAGTAGGAGGAAAAAGGGTCCCAAGATCAGGCAAACAAGTCAGAGACACCCCTACTCCACAGTTAGGAGTCCCATAAAAACACCCAGCTGCACAGCCATGATGCGCCCTTTACTTAGCAGCTGACATCCACTTATAAGTGAGCACATGCCATGTTTGTCTTCTGGGTCTGGGTTACCTCACTCAGAATGATTTTTTTTTGTTCCATCTATTTGCCTGAAATTTTCATAACGTCATTTTTATGTTTTTTTAACAATCTGTTTGTTCGGCATTTTTTCTGCATGTATGTCTTGTGAGGGTGTCAAACCTTGGAGTTACAGACAGTTGGTAGCTGCCACACAGGTGCTGGGAATTGAACCCGGGACCTCTGGAAGAACAGTCAGTAGTCTTAACCCCTGAGCCATCTCTCCAGCTTCCTGTTATTTTTTCCAATAGGTGAATAATACTCCATCGTGTAAATATACCACAATTTTTTTATTCCTCCCTCAATTGAGGGACATCTAGACTGTTTCCAGTTTCTGGTTATTATGAATAACGCTGCTATGAAAATAGTTGAGTGAGTGTCCTTGTGGTATATGTTCAGGAGTGGTATAGCTGGGTCTTAAGGTAATCAATTCCCAATTTTCTGAGGAACCGCCATATTGATTTCCATAGTTGTTTCCTGAGTTTGTGCTCCCACCAGCAATGGAGGAGTGCTCCACAGTG